TCTGCATTTTTATTAGGTGTTTCAAGCCCGACGATAGTGATAGTCTAGCGGGCAGATGCAGGTTCACCTCGCTGGGTTGTCGCCCTGGGGGCGGTTCGTGAGTTGTTTATCCCTGGGTCGTCTGTCTATACAGCAGTCCGCGCTGACTGCTTGGATCTCTAGACGAGCGAAGTTCAAGCAGAACAGCGCCAAGCTGTCACGACATCAGATTCAGTGTGGTCGCTGACCTGCAAGACATTACCAAGACCTTTTTTCACGCTTAGGTACCGTTGGTTGAACTATGATAGCTCTTCCCGGCGTAAAGTTAATGTTTCTTGCCGAACTTCTTGCAGATTTCCGTCCATCGTTCCACGAGGCATGAATGTTAAATGTATAGCGCTTAATCAAACACGTACCTATACCATTTGAAACTGGCGTAGGTTGGTCAAAATGTTTTCACCGCGGGTTACTTTCAGCGAATGACGGGTTTGAATCCTATCGAGCGCTTGTTTGTTGATTTACTGTTAGACCACAATAATTGTATCAACAAAATAATAATGATATGCAGACATGGGTGTAGGCTAGCTTTTATTATAACACCTCACCCACAGATTCTGTATCTTGATTGGCCGAGAGCGAGTCACATATCATTCGCTATGTTTGCTATATTGCTGTGCACAGCCAAAAGTGCTATACCAGTAGCAACCAAAGAACTATACCCGTAGCAACCAAAGTACTAACTGCACATGCAAACTGCCTTGCGTGTATTGTTCCCAAGCGCTTGCGTCACAGATCTGGGTTCTAACATTTCGTGAAGGGGTATAGATTGGAAAAGTGGAAAAGTGCATGCAAGTAAATTTCAACTAATTTCGTATTCAAATTGAAGCACACTTTAATTTTATTTAGATTAATCAGTTATTCCTTCAAATCAAGTAGAATTTGTGGGAGATCCGCCCTTGATCCAATCATAATTAGGGCAAATATGGACTCTTTGAAATGAAAGAAATCATTACAATTGACAACTATTGAAAATATTGCGGCATTTAATATAATAACATGAAAACGTTTGACCTCAACTCCGATCATGCAGATAACAGGTGGATAAATTTGAACACGGGAGTCTGCGACTAGACTAGTCAGTGCATGTTTGGTACCAAGACGTTCTCACGAACTGTCAAGACGTTCTTATGACAACTGAACGTGAACTGGCGAGACTTTCACGCTCTATTATGCACCAGACTCTGTCACTATAACTGTTCCGATGGACTATATTTCCCCACGTTGTTTCCTTAAAAAATGCTAATAACGCCCTCCATAAACTTTTGACATTGGTGGGAGTGCACATGTATGATGCAAGACTCACCTAAGTGTCCACCTGTTTTTTTAAGAGCATTACCAGAGGAGGCTGTCTCCAAATTACTTCTGACAGCAAACGAATTGAGAAAACCACCCTGGGCATTTTACCGATGACCTGAAAAGAGGTTGTGCCCAGTATAAACTTTCATATAGCGCGACACGGAATCGAGTAGATATCCTATTCAGGTCCATTACAACACTAAGAATAATTCGACAACAATGTGGCCGAATGATGAAGAAAAAGCTTCCTTCAAAACAAAAGAGACATGAGTACTTTTCATCCCATCTGACATTTGGTCATTAAGAAAACAAAAGGTCAGCTCAATTGACCCCTTTGAAAAATAATCTAATTATTGAACTTATTAAATCTAGGTGTCCCTCATATTTCTTGTATCTAAGTCCGATCAAATTTTAACTCAAGTTGTATATACTTTGCCATGAAAATATTCACGGCATCGTTCCAATCTTATCCTAGATCATGATGAGCCGTTGCGCTGTGATTCTTATTAAACAGGTGTCGTATGGATTGTTGAAACCATCACTTTTTAATGCAGCTGGTCATGTTTCAACTTCTTTTATGCACCTTTTCATGAGTGTCATGTTACCGCGTTCGCCTCATGCATTATGAGGTTTCTATAAATAAACCGAAAGTTAATTAACTGCCAAAATTTGCTTGGATATTTTGGAATAGAAAGCGCCATTACTTAGTGATACTGTTGGGGGGTAATAAAGAGTCCCGCATACTAAAATCGCACCTATTTCCAACAAAAGAGAAACCTAGTTTGTCTTCATCAATCACCCAAAGGTGAACCTCTCCTGTTTCACCATATTTTGGTCCACTTTCCTCACTCTTTCTGTTTTTCGGATGACAAATATGTTCGACCTCAGGGCTGCTCGCGCTAGTATTTCTGTTTTACATCTCTGTAACTCCCCCGGCTAACATTGCAAAATGCATTTTCTTCTGTGTCCCACGGAAGCTTCTCCAACAGTGCAGGCCTTAATTGAGGAAAATTAAGGGGAAGGATGCAAGGTTATTTTACATTTATCACCGTCGGTTATTTTTCTTTCTACTTCGACAGCTTCTGCACTGGAGTTGTATCATCTCGTTACAAAGTATAACGAGCTTCCTCGCTCGTTTGCCATGAATTTGCGAGAAAGTAATAACACAAAAATGATTACATCTGCACTGCAATTGCTTTTTTTCCCAAATGAAAATTGACAGGATATGTTTCCGGACAGGTAGACAAAACGAGATAATTGGAAACAAGTGAAGCTGTGTTGCTAATAAGACGCGTCTTCAAGGTGAACGCGTATGTCCATTAATTGTCTTCACAATGAACATTGAGGTCATGGTTACGTAATGCTAGACCGAAGACCAATTGGTAAATCGATATAAGACAACAATATAGGTTGAATCAGACGTCGATTTGTAGTGTGCTAATAAATTTGGTTGGATCCGTTTGCTAGTCCAGCTTTTTACACAACACGAAGCGTCCTCACTTATTCAACTGGATATATTTACCACGTAATTCCCTCTTATTTTGCTGGACATCGTAAATTCTTTGCGAATCCGATCGCACCTTTGCTCCCTCATTCACTTGTCGTACTGTTTTACATAAATAATATCCCTTAGCGCTGCGGCTGATTTATCAACATGCTCTATGTCTAGTAGTAACGCATCCGATGGACAGCCAGGCGCAAAGGAAAGATGGAAAGGCAGAGTTGGGGGGGGGGGGGGGGGATCCGGACATCGAGTAACAGGACGAGGCAACATGATCAAAGAATGTTGTAGGCATGCCGTGCTAATATCCTGTTTCATTGCAGAAGTCCAGACTATGGCACAAAATCATCAAATGGCTCAGCAAGCCCAGCGAGCGGAGGTTATTTAGAATATTTCACAGCCGCGGGAGTTCACTCCCCCCATCAGATCGCAGCTCGCCCGTGCCAGATCCTATTGAATTTTTATATGCTTATAAATATCCCTTAATACTCAGAGGATGCGCAAGTGTTGGTCAAATCGGACGAAGGTGTCACCTATAATTCTTTAATGTGAAGGGTCCGCGAAAGACCATTTCACCTCTGCACACATTTTATCTCCACTTTGCAGTCGACAATTTGACGATACGTTATGTTCGGCACCAGTCCTGTCTGTAGGCATATAGGACAATTTGCATGTTATCTCGAAAGTAACCTGCCGAGTCAGTATCAAATAGCTTACTTGGAATCACATATACTGGTACTAAACACCCCGCGAAATGACTCAGTTTGGCTTACTGTCATTTAGATGAAATCAAGAAATGTAGGTGACTTCCAAAAATCAGTCAAATGACTCATTTTTGGAAGAAAGAGTGCTATTGACGAAATCGTGTATCGTGATCAAAAGTTGTGCATGCTTTGTCAGTGTTTTTTTTTCTCGAAAAGTAAATGATCCTATATGCCTTTAAGAGACATCAAAACGTCCGCAATACATAGGTCAAAACTCAAAGGATGTATCCCCCTGTTAACTGTAATAGGCCGTCACCTCCCCTCCCCCTCTTAAATAATTTTCCGAGGAATGACGTACATTCATATCTCATATGGCAATCTCCCCTTTAAACTTATACATTTACCTCCTAAATGGCGCGGGACTTGTATACGAGACGCCTGTGTATACCTTTCTGATATCACACTTAAAGATCACCGGATTGTTGTATTCATCTTCCGAGTGATCCATTTTCTCTCAACCCTCCCTCGGCTGTGTCATCTGCCCATGCAAGGCGACAATCTGGCGACCAAAACGTACAAGCGATTTTTGGCACTCGGTCGGCCTTTTGGTTTTTTTCAGGGACAAGCTTCGCGCCGGGGACTTTTTTTTAAAGCCATTTTGTAAGCCCGTTGAAAGCCTTTCTTTCACCGCGCCGTTTTTCAGAGACCTCCTCAATCAGTGTTAATCTCGGAGTTTTTAGAGAAGTTGCGGAACGGGAGTTTTTTTTGTAACGGAGGGACTCTTAGAAGCCGGCGAGAGAAGATGAGGCGATAAGCAAGATTGATACGGCCTGTTTCGCTTTGAAATTCAAGTAAAAAGGGACTCAACCTGCCCCTGATCTATAAGGGAGGGAGGTGTATTCATCATCGCTCCCGAGAGATGGGGCCGACTCAAATTGTCTGAAATGTGGCTTCCATATGTCATCAGGCTTGAAAGGCAGATTCTAGAGTATCACCGCGGTAGGCTTTCCTCGGGAGTAAAGGCCGATTGCCGACAAAGATTTGGATGCAGTGAATGTAGTATCTCCTTGATTACTGCAGCTGCATGATTTGACCCCCAAGATTGCTGCTTAAAGAAAAAGCGCTATTGCCTTGAAAGATGATCATAAAATAGCATATTGTAAAGACTGTCGTTTCTTTCAACCTTCATTATTTTCTTGTTACACCATACGATATCGCCTTTACAACACAAGGCTTCTTAGGACAGCATTAGCCTGATGTCCTTAATATATCCGGCATTTTACGGTGACCTACTTAGACAACGTTTCGTAAGACCTAATTTAGTCTCCAACTCCAGCTTAGTCCCAGCTGTGCCATTTTATTCTAAAAACCACTCGAAATGGTTGAATTATTATTATTCTTTGTTTTACCGTGTTTCTCTTTCTTTTCTTTCCTTGGTGGTTTTGTGTTACGTTTCGCAGTGCCAGTTCATACCGGACCAAGGTTTTCGGCGTGGATCCTACCACTGCGTGTGCCGTAAGGGCTTTTACTTCCCCTCGCCGGCCGACCCTGGGGAAAACTACTACAACGGTTCGAGTATCGAGGCTGAATATGACCGGCTGCTAGCCGGCAACACTACCAGGTGAGGTTTGATAACATTTTGAACCCGTATGCACGTCCTGTATAGAGGGCACTCTCTTTCCACCAAAATACTTATACCTATTCCAGAGTCGCGACTTTGTCATAAAGGTCGAGTGTACGTTGCAGTCCTTTAGAACGATTTCAGAGTCTGGTCAGTGGGAGATTAAGACAGAGGGTTAACCTTTCTAACCCAAATCTGTTTTGGTCTACCCGAGTTGATCCTAACACTATTTTGATCGGTGCAGCTCTGTAACGGGTGTTATAAGCGACGATACTAAGAGACGACACATCTCTCTTGTTTGTGAGTTGTGAGAAATTCAGAGATGAAGACGTGTATACTCAACGTTCTGTTTGTCATCGTGAAACTGACTATGAACGAAGGATGCTGTTCAAAATGTACAGGTAGCATTGGATGAGTTTGCACAGTTCATCTCAGAGTCGCACGCAAATCTCAGAAGAGAAAGATAAAACGAAGTTTACTGAACTTATTTAGTTTTATCTGAAACAAGAAATTAGCCTGCATAATTATTAGCAGCTATTTGAAGTGAAACTTTAAAGTAAAGTATAGATTTTATTGTCAGTATCGTGGATCATTTATGGATAACTGACAATTTACACACTCCTACCGTCTCCTGAGCTTTGTTTTGAAAACCAGATTATAAACTGGCCGTACTTTACCACGTCATTGCGATTGATTCGTGTGGTTCATCTCAAGATGTAAAAAAACCCGAATCCGAATAAACAGAGCTGCACTATTTCACCCCACATTAATTAGATCAAACCACCAGAGTATTCATGTCCAAAAGTGCAACGTGTGAGACAAGAGTAGTAGTTGAATATTAGCAAACATTATGGATTAAAATATATTTTCAAGGCGCGAGCGCATGTCGGGAAAGTTTTAGCGCCACCTGAGTTTCCAATGTATCCAAGTGACAGGTTTAAACTGAGAAAACATCTCAGACCTTCTGAGGAGCAAAATTCTTGTTAGGATTGTAGGAGGCTATCTGTTTCATAGTCATTATGATTTTCTGTTTATCCATCATTTCAGTTATGTCCAACCCTCCCCCCCCCTCAAAATTGTGGTTAAAACTATGAGAAAAACCGTTCCACAGGCATTCATAAAGTCCTTCCATCAAACCGCCTCATTGTCAGCAGATTCCCATTTTAAATTAGTCGTCGTAGAAGCAGACAGTTCCACACACGAGATCCGGTTGCGACCTCCGTGTAGGAAAAGTGAAAGCAAATCCCAACTATTAATATGCAAAGACCTTCTCGACTTTTCCCACAGGTATAGAATTGCCATTTTGACGAGGTTTTGTCATTGCAGGTACTATGAGATGATCTGTAAGCCGTGTGGCCCCGGATGTGATGAGTGCGTAGACGGACGATCGTGCCGTTACGCCCATAACTGGACCGTCCGCACCGTGCTCTTGATTATACAGTGCATCACCATTGGCTGCACGCTACCGCTCTTCGTTTTCACCATCTACAACCGAGAGGTCAAGGTAAAAGTCACTTGCTATATACTTCTTTGAGACCAAATAAGGGCAAGCCTTAATTATCATTGAGTTTTCAGTTCGTGTCAATAGTACTTCTGTTCGGTTACTGTGTTCGATTCATGTGCCATGGTACGTGGGTTCGAACCCTGGCGGGGAACATAGTGCTAGTGCTCTTGGGCAAGACACTTTACTACAATTGCCTCTCTCGACCCTGTGAAGGCCGAATGCGTTGATCTCGAGTTGCTGCAGAAAAAGGGTCTCATTCCTGATGAACAGGGATAATAATAATAATTGTAAAGCACTTTGAGACCTTTGGTATAAAGCGCTATATAAGTATTACTAATATTCTTCTTCTTCAGTTTTACCATAAACAACCGAGAGGTCGAGATTATGTCACGTGCTATACTTCTTTGAGACCAAGTAAGGACACAAATTATCAATGACTTTGTTTTGTTCGTGTCAAATGGAATTCTGTTCTTGACTGTAACTGCCTTCGTCTTTAGCCAGTATCACAGAGCTGATAAGGACATACACTCACATGCAAGAACACTTGGCGCAAAATGGCTACCAGCCCAAATGCCATGTGATGTCTTTTGCTCGTGACTGACATGTGATTGGCATGTAATTGACATGTGACTGACATGTGAGTGACATGTGAGTGACATGTAACTGAATAGTGGTTCTCTGCTCAGCTGACTATTGTTAGCTCATTGGCTTAGCTGAACACACGTTTCTGCTTATCGAGAAAATCTAATTAGATGCAAAATAATGCTTACTGATATATACTGACTTTGCATATATAATTGGCCATTTGTTGGGCAATATCTCATGCTATAAACCTTTATCATGCTGCCACCATTTCGGTCATGTTCCCCGTACCCAAAACAGTACTGAATGATAATGTTTTTGCGCAAAAAGGAACCAGGCTATTTTCCATTCCAGCCTCGCTTTGGTTACGTTGATTTGAATGGGACAAAATCAAGATGGCCGCAACATGATAATGGTCTATAGGCAGCTCTCGGAAATTGACCAGTCCTTTTGTGCTTGTCTTACCAACTTATCCTACTTGTCCTTTATACGTTATGCTGTATGCATAAAGAACACACGAACAATATGCTTGCAGAACACTTTACTGTGAAGAGATTCCAGTGTTCTACCAAATAAAACAAAACAACCGCATTACCAATTTCATGATAGCAGTTGTAAAATAAACGAGGTATTTACTTAAGGCCAACAAAAAAAAGTCTCCGGTTTCTGGTATGGAGCTTGTCCAAAAAGTGGTGCGGCGACGCGGCTTTTTTTTTTTTTTTTTACCCGACTTTTTTTGCTTCAAATGTCGGCTGATGACTGCAAATGGTGCCCGACTAAACTTAGTGCAAATATATGGGAGTCCAGAGAGGCCACATAAAGCTTATTCTCGATTATAACCCCATCTAAAAACACGTTGAAATTGCGCAGCAGCAGAATTCCAGTCCAACCAGTGAGTTTGGCGGTTATGAGACATCATCTTTCATTGAAAATGCATGGCTACGGCGACGCGCGCGCATACCAGAAACCGAAGACTTTTTTTGTTTGGCCTAAGCTTGGTAATGTCAGAAATTGTCAGAAACTTGAAACTTGAAAACAGAATATTGAGAAAAGCAATTTTCTTGGCTAAAATTGTTCTTATCAAAATCAAGCCACATATTCTTTCATTTTCACATTAGGACATAAAAGACTTGTGAGGTCATTGAATGCGACAGGATGTTTACAGTCAGTCTGATATGTTCATTACTAGTAATACAATACCTGAACTGGACCCATCGGCTCGCCCTGGAGAGTAGACTAACAGATGGGATTTCATTTCATTCAAGAGTCATTCTTACCGTGATAACATTGCCAGGATATGGCAAACTCTAGTCTTCAAACAAGGGTGAAGTGTTTGGATTTCATCTTAGCAGAAAGAAAAGAGAAACATTGCCAAAGGGTTTACTGCGCAAGGCTCCCATCATGAACTATTCACACGGAGATTGAAATTGAGCAATTCAAAGTTTACTGCAATAAACGTTATTTTGTTCACCATAAAAGGTAGGACTTGTAGTCAGTTAATATATCATTTCAAAGAACTATTTGACGCACAGGAAGCGCGAAACTTTTATAAGTTCGCTGGGTACTAGGGCGCCCTCAATCGGCACTCGTGGAGTGTTTTGCGGTGGGGGGGGGGGGGGCTCGCAGGTGTGATTTCCTGACACAATCCCCTCATCCTTCTTTTCCTGTTTTTGTTCCAATCTTCGGTAATTTTTTCGCTTCTCTCTCCTAGGTGGTGAAAGCGGCCAGCCCCGTCCTGCTGCGAATTATCTTGCTCGGATCGCTCTTTCTTTATTGTCCGGTAAGTTCCAACAAGATTTTCTTCTTACTTCCGCCAACTCGGAGATTTTCATCGTTTGACCGAAATACACGAAAAAAAGGGGGTTGCACGTATTATTCGATCATGTACTCCGGTTGCCTGCCTCGGCCCAAGGGCTGGCCCCCTCACCCTCCCTGTGTTTTCGCTCTGACACCCTCTGACATTTCCAGTCGAGGAAATTTGCGTCCCTCCAAACCAAGAATGACTGATCAGGATCTGGCAGATCGCCCGATTTCCGTTAATGTAATCTCCGAGGCCTTAGATCGAGTTTTGAGTTTCACAAACAGCCAGGCAGCCTGCCACACCGCACCGTTACATTAGCTCCGTATAAAACGAAGCTGATTGAACTGTATTCAGCAGCCATAGTGGGGCATTAGCTAGTTGGCCTTGTCTCGTCTTAGGGCCTCTTCGATTACGATAACTCCCTCGGCTCCCCCCTTTGCATCTGTCACAGACTTTTTTCTTTCTTTCTCGCTCTCTCTCTCTCGCTCGCTCTCCATTTATTCCAGTTTCTGCAGTCTAATCTCCTGGCGAGGGACTTTTCAATGTCCTGTCCCGGAGAGAGTTTGCTCACTTGAAGAGCGCGTGTTGGGTATCGGTGGGCTGTAGAATTCAGCTTTATTCGGAAAGGGGATAGGGCGTGTTGTTTTTTGTTGCCTTAAGCTGACACCGAGTCTGCTTTTGAAGTAATGTGGTATATGGTTTTTGAAATTTCATATGACCTCGTGGACGATAAAGGGGCCAACGAATTAGGACTCTAAACTTGAATCCAATTCTCTTCCCAAATATTTTAACACATTTTGTATGATGCATTTTCGAACTGCTTGACTTATATGTCAATTTTCCTACCACAAAAAAACACACATTCCACTACAAAACGATACTCGCCTCATCGCCAGCTCATAGGTCACATATGCGAATCGTTCCCCTTGAACGTCCGACATTTTGTAAGTCAGTGGCCTCGCTTTCAGCTTTACCGTGCAAGTGATCCGCCCTTTTGGTGCCTGGCGTGACCCATTTGCACGGTAGAGCTGAAAGCGAGGCTGCTGCCTTACAAAATGTCAGTCAACTGAAATGGTTCTTACGCAGTATATAGCTTGCCTATTTTCATCTATACGCCTAAATACTACGTGGTATTTGGTTTTCAGTTAAAGCCCCCTTTTCGTCTAAATGTGGCGATTGCGTGCGAAGATTGTGAGGATGAAGATAGCTTCATGAATTTGATGTCATCAAAGCATATGTATTTATCTGGTTATTTAGTAAACCTCAAAGATGGCCAAAAAGGACGGTGTAATTAACAAAGTGGGGAGCTGACCATGGGCGTCGCCAGGATTTTTCTAGAGGGGGGCAATTCATATTTTTCCCCCTACTATTCCTGTATTTCTCAACATATTCTCGATTTATCAGTTTTAGAGGGGGGCAGGGACATTTTGCCCCCCCCCACCCATTAAATTACACCAATATGGCTTGGCGCCTCTTTTTATTGTCTTTTGTTTTCTCTCTTTTTTTTTTTTTTTTTTTTTTTTTTTGCTTTCCAGGGAGGGGGGGGGGAAGCAACTTGAATATGCATAACGATAAAAACAAATATCTTGTCTTAAGTGGTAGAAAATAAACTCACTAAAAGTGCATAGGTAAATTTTGGCCAGATCTGACAAGAAATTGCACGGTTGTTTTTTTTTTAAAGGGAATTTTATAACACCTGCATATGGGTATAAGTGTTTATAATGTGATTTGTGTAATTCTGGGTGGTTTAGCAGATTTTTGTTAAATCTAGCAGATTTTTGAAGTGCATTTAGCAGAAATGTGCCATTTTCATACGGTCACCCCGATGGGTATGACGCCTGCACTTGTAAGAAGGGAATCGTAGGTTCGAATCCAAGCCGAGCAAGCAAGCTCCGCTGGTTCGATTTGGTTTGGCTGTTTGTTGGGTTGTCTTGGTTGTTTCTTTGGTTTTTTTAACGCTTACGTATCACAGAAGTACGGAGTGTATGATAATGCTTCGATGAAAGTCAAATCCTTCTGCATTAAAATTTGAACGAAACTTCAACTCATTGACATTCTTCGCTCATCAATGTTTTGCCTTCAGGACATCTATATGCAAGTGTCGGTATTTGAACCATTTTGATCCTCATTTGGCATTCATGCGGTATCGTATTATCGATTAATAAGGTGTTGCGTTCTTTTCACAAACAAGCAGTAACCTTCCGAATACAGAGACAACTGGATTAGTGAAGACACCTGATCAGAACTTTACGAGAAAAAAAAAGGTCAGATCAAGTTTTGAAGAGAAAACAAAGTGGGTCATCAGTATAAAGCCAAATTATTATGCCAAACACGAGAGCTGGTCCGGTTTGTTTTAGGTATTTACCAGACTGACTTAAGCTAGAAATTTATCGTCTAGAGCGAAGTCAATTGGGGCTGAAATGCACACCCAGTACCTACGAGAAGGGTTGCGGTTTGGCTTGCGTCAGGACCAATTGGGGATCAACATTGTCCTTTTCTGCCCTGATTAATGTAAATCTTCAGCGAAGACACTATTCCGTGACCTATTTCTGTAATTCGCGATTGGGCAGGAGATGGCCATTCGTGCCGTGGGCCTACAGATAACTCCCTTTTAACCTTCTGCAAATCTCTTTCGCGCGTTCCAATTTAGACCTTTGTCGAAGTCGCTCCTATTAAGACCACTATCTCCCTGCTCCTCGCGATCCTAATCGCGTATTAAAAGACAATTTCTCTCTTCCCTGGAAGTACTAAGTCCTTTTTATTCTCCGGCACGTCAGCCCAACAGCGATTTCAGGGCGCGGGATGTATGCAACTCGTTTATAGTGCCAACCTCCTGGTTGCTGATGGGATTGTAAAATGAATATTGGACAGGGCTCTCATCTCCCCGGAATGATTTCAGATCAAATTACAAATGGAGCAGGTTTTTTTTTTTTTTTTTTTTTTTTAGCTCAGACCGATGTAGGAATTGTGCCGTGCTCCTTTTGGCGAAATCAGGTCAGCTGATGACCGTTTTTTTTTCTCCTGTTTTATTATTCTGGAGTTTTCCTGTCAACGCAAGCCAAGCAACCGATGGATTTAATTTAATAATTGGCCCGTAATTCGGTCAATGTTTGCTAATAAAAGACAGCTGCCACCACTCAGTGCAATTGCCGGGCGCTAAAGTGTGAAACTCGGCAAGCATACAACAAGCGCACAGTTCTAGGCAAGGACACCTAAAACAACAGGTTCAGCGCTTCAAGACTGTGTCCTGCTATCTTGTGTGGTTTTTGTTTTGCGAAAACAAAAACAGCAGAGATATTTTTGTATTCATACCCCTGAGTGATTTACGACACTCCTCGTTTATTGGGCATCTCATAAACATCATTGGGCCTTCACTTTTAACAGTCAAAATACTGACAGGTTTATTTTATTATCTAGCTCTCAAGAACTTACTTGAATTCGAGAAAGGAAAACACTCGCTAATCATACGATTTCGGTTGTCTTCCAATTTAGCGATCACTGTTTGATGTGCTTGGAGGTATAACACTAAGGGGTTCTCTCCCCGTCCTGTTATTTGGCAGGTACTTGTTAGTTACTATGAGCCAACTGTAGCAACGTGTATGCTTCTACAGTGGTTCAAGGAGGTCGGATTCTCGATATTGTTTGGTGCAGTCCTCCTGAAGACATGGAGGTGAGTACACCCTTCTTTCTATTCATTTAAAACGATTTGATATCCAGTTATTTCCGTGTTGTTTCGTTGCATTCATAAAAAAAACCACCAAAAAACAAGTGTGAGTGCACGTGGCTTGTGTTGTTTGTGGACTTACCTCGGATAAGAAAGTAAGTTAAGACATTTAATGTCGGTATTCTGTTATTTGAATACTGAATCTATCAACTAAAATATTTCATATTATGGTTACATAATTATGTGTAATTTCTAAGATGGTATTGATTTGCTTCTCAATTTTTTCCGTCGATAACTGGGTAACGATTTATAAATCATCTGTTATTATTTTCACCATGTTTGAAATACGGAGTCGCTGTACTGATACTTAGAATTTAATTAGTTTTGGTACAATGAAAATATAACCACTCTACCATTTTGCCTGCAGGGGACAAACTACAAAACGAAAAGGTAGAGTTACGGCGGCCCGGTTACAGCACTTCCGTTCTGCGTATGCTCATAGGAATATCCCAAGATTATTTCATATTTCCCCCCCTTCTCCGTGTTTTCTTTCAGAATATCGGTTGTCTTCAGAGTCCGGTCGGCAGCCAGAGTGCGCATCACAGACATCGACCTCATCAAGCGACTCGGCCTTATAGTCTTCATCGCGATATTCTACCTAATCGTCCGGACCGCCATAGCGCCCCCTAAGGTCGAGACAGGCATCTCCCTGTCCAACCTGAAGGCGGAGCAGTGCTCGTACGACTGGTGGGACTACGCAGCAAATATCGGTGAGATCATCTATGAATATTCATGATTTTTGCATCGAGGTAGTCATTTTGTTGTTTGAAGCTCACTTTTATAGAATGAGAAGTATGGCTCATTGGCATATTCAGAATATTTCAATTGAGTGGATGAGGTGTCGATGTCAACACATGTACAATGTACAAAGACCAAAGGCCTTAAGCAATGAACTGAACTTTGCAGTACTGTAACAGGGTTTTTTTTGTATCCAGGAAAGAAGGTTAGTGTTTTCCTACTGTTAGCAAATTAGAAAAAAAAACTTAACAATGGTGAAATGGAAGAGGGTCGTCAGGCACTCCAAACACCTTCCCCTTTAATTCGCTCTTGTTACAGTAGCTTTAGTTAAATTGGATGTTGACTTTCAAATTATTCAGCAAAACGAAGCTCGGGGCTCTGCTAACCACAACATGCCGCGCCTATACCATCACCATTGTGTGGTAACAGCGCTAGCAGAAATATTCTGCGCATTAAGCACAGAATCCATGGTTACAGGATGTAGGCCTACGCATGCGCAGAAGCCAAAATTCATCGCTTACCCGTGAAATACGCTTACCGTAAGTACGACATTTTCTGCTAAGCAGTGATATTTCGCTAACGGTAAGGAGAGCCATATGAAATTGGGCCCTGCTTTGTTTTCACCATAACTATCTAACACGGGTTCAGATTTTGCCGTCTTGAAGAGGGTTCAGATGACAAATTAAAAGCTAAAAACAATATTATAATATTCAATTCACTTCAATTCAATATAACATTTATTTATATCCAATCATGAACAAAATACAATTCATATAGCATGTACAATAAAGGAAAATAAATATAAATTTTGCATTGGAAAAACAAATAAGTAAAATTGTAAATGACAAAGCAATTAATTAAAGCCATAATAAGCCTAAGAACTACAGAGAAACTCTCCGAAGCTCTGCGCAGTTTGGTCAACGTTGCGATTAGTTTGCCGCGTTCGTCTTCAGGTTCCCATTATAACATGAAACTTCGTGAGGGACCCATTACTTAGAAATGTTTCGCCTACACGGAATACGTAGGGCCTACATTGTTCGGGAAAAGTGCTTGTGTAATAATCATTTTGCGTAGGCATTTCATCGGGCAGATTATGAGCAATGTGCACTTCAAATCGAAATGTTTAGACGTACGAGTTAGTGAAAGTTTATTGAACAACAATTAAGCATTTACTGATCAGACTACAGCGAAAAACGTCGAAGAGTCTTTAGAAATCTCACTAGGCCTTCCCACAAGTGGAACGCTATGGAGTTATATATAAAGAAGTACATAAGAAGATATAAAGAAGAACAAAAGGGGGAAAATATAGGTCTTTAGTGTGTGCTTGGTGTGGTCGCATTGTCGCATATTGTTGGACCACTTCTTGATGTTCTTCCATACTGCGAGTGCGTGCACATTAAAGACCATGGAGGACACTCCTCCGTATCTTTGGGCGAATGTATTTCGCGGTTTGTGTTTAATGTCCATGTCCCTTGGTCGAATCGTTGGCAATCCAATAACGACGGCGTCAGGCGGGCGATGCGCCGGGACCGCCCAGCTCTCAATTATCGAGAATTTGTCACGAACCGAAATATTACATTGATCTTTCCTTTCCATACGTTTGCTGCTTTGATTCTTATAGCTTCTTCTTCTTGTTATAACTCTTTTCTCCGTTGGGGCGACTGCTTTCTCACTTAATGTGCTCCGTTTAGTCAGTGCTGCAACTGCGCGTATTTTTTTTTTCAGCGGAGCAATTCCAGTTTTGTATTATAACACACATTTCACTTGACATTTGATTTTTTTCCCAAACAAATCCGAAAAATGTACGAATTTTGTTCGATGTCTCATTCAAAAGTGAATAATTTTTAGATTCCTAGGAAAATAGCAATTGAAAAAAAAATCATCTCTTATTCCGGGTGAAACTCAAACAAGCACGGGGAATTCATCTTTAATCTCATATAAATCATATAGTAACAACATATGTGTTACAGTCCATTGTATGCATATTTTACTTTGGTTTACATGCACAACTAACTGTATTATTTTTTTTTCAATCTTATTTACACATTTCTTTATTTCTTAACCAGTCCTTCGTATAGTAACATGCTTAGACACTTTGAATTGGTCTACATATTAGTACAGTTGAAAGAAATAAAATTGCTTCTCTCCTGCTATTTCATTTATTTATTTGCTAATCAAAAAGGGCTGAAACGTAAGTTATGGACCGACTGAATTCATATTCCATATTACCTATTTGCAATGTGACCCAAGGATTGGACATGAACTGTATGTCCTGAATAAGTAGATTTCGTTTGATTGACAGTGCAGATGATGTGAATTAAGTTTCAGTGGCAGATAGGCGCCTACGCACGTTTATGGCGCTCGGAGCCTAATCCGTGGGCAGTTCAGCGTGCAGATATCACGTTATCTGTAACATCATCAACGTTGATTTAATTCATCAAGACCAGAACGGGCAATATGAAACCATGCAATTGTGCCTCTATCACTCTTACGACGACCTTCTTGTCTTTAAAGGAAACATGCCGTGCAAACTCAGCTCATTTTGTTTTCATTCACATTTCTATGTATTGCATCATTACATACAAGATCTAAATACTTGTTTTCATTGGAAGTGACAAGAAAGTGGTAGTTTTCAATAATAAGCAAAATCATTTCATCAACACATATAAGAGGGCGCTATTGTGCTTTTGTCACACAATGTACTCCTTGTCAAAAGTGCATGTGAACAGTACAAACATTAGTCCTTCAAAATTACCCACAAAAAAAGTTTTTAAAAAATGTTGGCCAATTGTCCAAACCATGAAGTTGTGTAACACGATAAACAGTAAAAAGTGAAACTTACTCCAAGAAAATGAAAAAAAGTTTGATTTATATTTGTACATGCACAAGCAATGAAGACTCCACTGTTCTGCCTTGAATGACATCACGCTTTGGCTCACGAATATGTAAATTTTTATTATCATAAAAAGTAGAATGTTGAAATTTCTCCCTTTTACTGCTACAAAGGAGATGGAAAGTCATAGTTACGTGGCAAGAAAGCTGTCTTAAATGTATTTAAGTCATATAAATTATATTACATGTTCCCTTTAATCTGAACAGAAAAAAAACTTAACAACATACATATTCCAGTATATACTAAAGAAAAGAGATTTGCTGAGGACGAAAATAATGCAATGACATTTTTTGAAAAGACTTCTACGAGTACTTTTACATTTCACAGAATGTGGCGTTTAATTAAAACCGCACGATATCATAAATTGAACCCCATCGTTGTGCAGAGCAATGTAAATATCACGGGTGGTAAGTTGACGCTGCATTCTTCGCTAGCTGACCTTGTCTATATGTACTCTTCCAATGAAATTTAACAGGACTCACGCTTTTAATTTCACAATTTAATGGACCCTTTTTTAAGCAAAGTAAAATAACGTACAGTTTAAGCTTCGGGACTGATTTTAGGGTGTCTTTGGATAAGAAAGGCTTTTGGTGCTGTCGCTTACTTTCTATATTTATGGAGAAATATCAGGCAAATTGTTTTTCAATTAATTTAGATTGTAAGACTTCTGATATACATTCGTTCTAAAACCCCCAACATTTGGTGTTTAAGATGTTTACTTATCGCATTCGTAAAGTCTTGTTCACAGGAGAGCCATGTGGCGGCTTACATCATTTACAAAGAAAATGTTCAAAACCCTATTTAGATGTGACGGGGCAACCGATTTGGAAGTAGCTTATGAATGTATTGCAAGCAGGTAATGATGCCATAGAATTAAGAATGAACGCTGTCACTCCAACGGCTCGATTTTCCAGGACCAAAAATGCCCTAAAATACCCCACCCGTTTACCCAAACATTCCATCGCAGCCTTTCAAGATGTACAGGATGTCTCACACAAAAACACGAATCATCAAAGCGTCCTCTTTTTCACAGCTTTAAAAGAAATTCATCACAAATATCTATACATATTTTGAGAGTATAGTGCTTTAGCTTTTCGACAACGAAAAAAAGTCTTTGCAAGCGGGTAAATGATGATGGAGTTATGGCCAATTCAAAATAAGTGCCGATTTTTCAATCTGTCCACGGTCTCAAGTGCCATTTGTTAGGAATGTAATGGATTTCGGTTGAGGGTAGTTTTGCTTTCTTTAATGTTTTATCTCACTTTATTTATTTTGTTCAATTTTTTTTCAACAATGGCCATTTATCCTTTTGGACTGTACTTCTTAGATGTTTACTGTGCTGCTCTGTCGCTGCCCTCTACCTGGTAGCCTTTTTTCACAGATGCGAGCTTCGTTCCTTGTTCTTATTGCGGCAGTCAAAATACCAGTCGCCGTGGACAAAACGAAAAAGCGGTACTTGTTTTCTATTGCCATAACTCAATAAATATTCACCCAACTGGAAATATTGTTTCGTTGTTGAAAAGCTGATGAAATAAAAATACTCTCCAAATGTGTAGCTATATTTGCGGATGTATTTCTTTTTAAAGCTGTGAAAAAGAGGACGCTTTCAGGGTTCGTTTTTTGTGAGACACGCTGTAGCTTTGTGAATTGTAATGAATTACTTTTTAATGATCTTTCTTCCCATAATCTGTACGTGAGAAACGCTTTTTATCAGCCCAATTACGGCGAATTGTAGCAGAAAGTGCTCATTTAATTCTTGAAGAGTCCATTTTGAATTGCAGTTGGGGGAAAAAAGATGCTAGTTTTCATTGTAGTGTTGAAAGAGCAGATCATAAACTCAGTCGTCTCGCTCGTAGAACAATATCCAAATTATTCAGGATATGATATACACGTCCGAGCAGATGATCCGGAGATGAAATTATTTCGGGCAACACACTGAGCTTGGCAGGCCTCCTGTAGCGTCGGAAAGTGCATTCGACCTACTCCATATCAACTCCTCATTAATGTCAGTCTATGATGCGAGAATACGGTCGCTTGCCCTGACCTAGAACTAATTCATCACGTTGACGAGGTTTGATCTCAATCGCTTGATAAATTATCCAACATGAGCTCATAAACGAGTCCGTTCAAAGCGTTCATTGCATAATAAACACATCCATTTGTTAAGTTTCCCCCTATTGTTAGATATTAAAGTTTGAACTAAGACATCTGCATGACAAGGCTACACATTTTTTAAAATGTATATCTGTAAGGCGGCGATAGAAAACAAATGCGTGAGGACTTTTCTACTGTTAGTTCTATGCAAAAATGGTGAGATACAACGACCATCTACCCATCTACTTGAAATGCGTCCATATTAACACGCTTAGAATAGTGAAATCAATATGACGCGCAGAATTGTACATGGCTCCATTTAAGATATCTTTAGCTTGGCACGAAATTCATTGGTAACGAAATATATCCCAGTTATCATTCATCAAACGGTTTCCGTTGCATAAAACAGTTCTCTGGTGGGTAAGGCGATACCGACCGAATTGTCTCTTTACCAGGGCCACCTGGTGAGTGAGCTGTCGATAGGCGATCCCGTTTAGACGTGATTTGCATTTTATATATCCCGCCGTCTCCCGGGTTCGAACCGATTCGGAGAGACGTAGCTGGCGGCACTGCAGGGTGTCAGCCCGGCTCGTCTCAACGGCCCTGACACGCTCACTCGGCGCAGGAGGCCTCGTGTATATTTACCGGTGAATATTGATGGTTTGCACCCGGCCGGAGGTTTAGCGATATGTACTAATTCGCACCGATCGTACCGACAGTTCGCTTTTTGCTTCGAGTGTATATCGGTACACCGGAGGGGGTTGATCGGGTAATGCGTGGGGCTGTAGCGAACGTCAAAATACTCAATTCCAAAGAGAAAACCTATTTCCGCAAAGTGTTTAAAACCATCATCCATTTGGTGAATTTTTTTTTCTGAATAACGTCGTCAAAGCATACGAATGCAGAGGCTGTCACTTCGTGGTACGGTGACGAAGTGACGAATCTGGTGAAGTGGTATAAACAATACTATAAATCTCTGCAATGCCGCAGGTACCAATTCAAATAACCGGTAATTCAGTGTTTTGCATCTCTATGCGTATATCGCACATTATAATGCCCATTAATCGTCCATCTGCGTATATCGTTCATATGATCATGTTCGCTCGTACCCCCGCCCTGCCAACAGGACGCTGGGATACTCTGATGAGCTTCACAGAATCTTGTGAAGCAAGTGGCCTATGACCTATGTATAAATCATCTGGCTGCAGCTGTTCAAGACCGCAGTTAGACAATGTGCGCAAATGCTATCCGAAAACTTCCCATAAAATTGCGCACATTCCATACCGGGTGTGATTTCCGTTCCATTGCAGACCATGTGGACACAATTTTGAGCGTCGCATAATGCAATCCGACCGTTCGTGATTCGAAACGGAGCCTGAGCGAGTGAGGGGGAATTGTAAATTTACAACACAGATAAGTTTTACAGAATTTACTACATTATTAGTCTTTTCAACGAGAAAAAAACATCCCTAAACTGGAATAAAAGAGTAATGAATCAGTCTTAACGGCCGTTTCAAACTTTACAGAGCCATGACCTTAATGACGCGCAGGTCACAGGTCACGCAAAATCCAACCAATCAGAGCGTGAATTCATCAGAGTATCCCAGCGTCCTGTTTGCAGGGCGGGGGTACGAGCGAAATGATCATGGTATTATATTAATCGTGAAAATTCCGTTGATTCATTCTGTAAGGGATAGACGCACCACCAGGCGTTTGTACACAAGCGAAACAGATGCAGGTGTAGATGTTCTTATTAGGCCAACGCTCCCAAAAAATGCGTTGATACATCACAATCGTGGTGTCTGCGTATTAGACGGGTGGTTCAATGTAGACGACACAGTGTGAAAATACAGCATTGCAGTTCTTACAATATATAGATGGCGCTCTCTTTGTTTTGATGTATAATCCCCAGTCTTAACATGTGTAATCTTAATCTCTCTTGTTCAGCTGAACTACTGCTTCTCCTGTGGGGCGTCAGACTATGCTACGTGGTCCGAAAAGCGCCCTCAGAGTTCAACGAGAGCAGATTCATTAGTTGGGCCATCTACAATGAGACAATGCTGTCATTGTTCTTGTGTGTAGCCACGTGAGTAATCTTCATTTTTTAATTTTCTTTTTATCTCACTTCCCCCACTGATGAAAATGACCTTAGTCATAATGCTCTCTTTTTTTTAACAGCCCAACGGATGGATGTGAGATCATTATTTTAATTTGCATGTAATCGGTATCAGCAGTTCATGAATAGGTAATAGTAACAAAAGAACAGTTCATGAATATTATCACACAGAAAGTTCGTGAATATTCAAAATGATAAGCCTTGTCTGTCAACATTGCATTAAGTTAAATGTTTACTATTCTCGGAGGGTTTTACTCGATGAGCCAATATCAAGTTCTGGTAAATCCATGGTCGTAACCACAGATTGAAAATGCAAACTGCGAACTCAGATCGAGTGGGTCGTGAAGCGCCCTCAAGTGTCAAGTAAGGGAGTCAAACGAAGAATTATCTCGCTAAACATTGGCACTCAAATTCTGCCAAAACTGAAAGACCTTACGCCTTTAGCAAATAAAAAAACCTTATTCATTTGCATCATTCATATATCGCTTTGGAGCATTACCCCTCCAGTGTACCGAAAGAATTAACGCCTGTTGCGATCGTTGTCTAGTTCAAGGCCTTGTAGCCCCCTCAAGCGTTAAAACCGGCGCAGGGATTGTTGGTTCAGGCCGCAGCCATGCCCGGAGGTGTAGGACACACCACCAACCATTTCTTACCAGGTAGAAATTGATTGGATTACGGGGCAGCTAACCGGAGGCCAGGCGCGGATGATTCTGGCTGTCCCCGTCCGCAGGTGTTCGCTCAAGGTCCATGGCGATCAATGGCGCAATTTTCACCTAGCGTATAACACCAAAATGATGGCTTGTAAACGCGCATTGAAATCGGTTGTACATTCGACCCTTGCAAAATGTCAGAGATCCGAATATTGACAGAACGGTGGTTTGCTTTGTGTAGCCTAAAGGTCAGTTTGGCTAGAGGCATTATGATGAGAAAACTCTAACTGTTTGCACAAAACTGTTGGAACAAAAAGTCAGAATTCTCTTGCAAAACATACATTCTTCCACGTGGTATACCAAGCATCTATTCACGACCAAAAATTCCCAATTCAACTCTCTTTCCGGAGAGTCATATAAGGACCAGTTTATTTTTTTTTTTGGGGGGGGGGGGGGTTGATACGATTTCTTCTTTCCAAGGTAAAAGATTACAAAGGCTGATATCGTTTGGCGTTTAGGTACAAATGTGCGAAGTAATAACAGACACACGTAGCATGCGCGGTCTTGGAAAAACCCACTTTTAAATGTATTCAAGTGAAAATGACAACCATGTAAAACCATGATCGGATTGGTCGAGTTATCTGACGTGAAGTAAATAAATCAGGAAACACTTAAAAAGCTCGGTATTTCACAAATAAAGTCTTAAGCATTTGTTTTTAAACTGATTGACGTGAGAATTATATTATACTGATGGGCATCAGCAGTTTAGCTGCGGGATAGCAGCAGCTCAACAAATCATCATTTCTATGAATAGTTAATCTATGAAAAAATCACCATCACAGGCTATATTTGTCAAAAAACTAAGAAAACAACTCTTATTTTAATGCATATTTATAACTTTAATGTTTAATTTATTCGTATTGTTATGTCTTAGTACCTGCATGCACACTCATATGCTGTTGTAGTCCTTTGTCCTGTCTGTCCCATTGTCTGTCCCTAGGTTAGGGTACAAAAGCATTTTTGCTTTACCAAAACCTAAATGTTTGCCCTTTGTGTAATAATTTAATAAACTTAACCTGTAATATTGTATTTCAACTTATTGTAAACACTGTGCATTTTCAAGGACAGCATTGAAATGAATGTACTATTCAATCAATCAAATCAAAAAAATTATCTCCTTTAGTCCATTTACTTAGTATAACGTTGACATTGTCTATCCCCCCCCCCCCACATATTTAACCGATTTCAACCAAACTTTGTCAAAAGTATCAATATCCATGCCCCAACATGTAACATATGACTAAACTGGGGGTCAAAGGTCATCATGGGGTCACTGGGGTCAAAAGGGTGATTTTGTTTACTCAAAACACTACTCCTTCCAGAACATAGCAGAATAAGCAAGCTGGCCAGCAGCTTCCGAGATATTTCCAATCGAGCTTGTTTCAATAATAATAACAATAATAATAAGCAGACAAGCATAGTTCTAGTGTCAAATCATAAATATCTTTACATTAGTTAGTTTACGTTTCAGCTAACATTATATACAATCTGTTTGTATGTTAATGAAACTCCTCCATTTCCTTTATTTTTTTCAGTTATTGTTTTTTTTTATCTGTTCAAGCTTTACTGTTTACATGTATGTAATGCTTAGCAATCATTGTAAATTTTAATTATAACTGTAAACCAAATATTTTTAGTCCTTGGACTTTTTCTTTGTCACCATCTTTTTTTAACAATAAAACCGAAATGAATGAATGAATGAATGAATGAATAGCTAAATTAATTGCTATCAGGAGGTTGCAACGACTGTTTTCTAGTTATTTACTAATTCTTTTAGCTCTTTTTTTAGGCCCGCGCTAACACGATTTTAGTTTGGATATGTTACTTTCACCTTAAACCGAGGTTGCATTTAGTTTGGAATTTCGATTGCTTGGAATCTAATTTACAGCCAATTTCCACACTCAGTCGTTTGTTTTTAAGGACGAAATTCATGTCCGCAAGCCGTTCTGCTTCCTAAAATAATAACACCAGCCAGACAGACATATCCATCATCCTCTCTAGACCACAACCGACCCCTTACCTTTTTCATTTATACCGTCGGATTCCCCTCTTCTTTTGTCTGTTTTTACTGGCGAATAATTAAACTAGACTAAGGTATAGACGGAATAACCTCGGTTCGCCTAATGGACAGGAAGAAGGAAGCGGTACGTGAATGGATTTGCCCTCGATCGCCGACAAGTCTCCAAACAACTAATGCAAAGCGCCGGTCACGTTTTGTTGTTTTAAAACCAGATTCCAACAGGCCCTTGTACATCGCTTCGTAATTTCATTTTATGAGAGATGATGAGACCAAGCATTGTATCTGAAGTGTGGCTAATTTGTTAATTGATCACGTGGTCTAAATATAGGTCATTCACTTCAGATCACGCGTCGCGTCGAGGACTCGAAGGAGAAAATAGTCTAGGGCAAAAAAGTGACACTTTGGTTGTTTCGGATGAAAATCCACACTATCCGATTGACAAGACGATTTAGAGTGAAATTCTTTCAAATCGATAGTTCACTCGAGTCTACACTGGAAGGAAGAATTTCAAACTTACAGCTAAGTCATTTTCAACCTTAATCGCTAGGTCCTTAGTCGCTAATTTATGAAAGTGACTACCAAAAAAAACAAGTTTTTGTCTTACTGAATAATTATTCAGTAAGGGCGGTAGTCCACATTTAGGTGGAAAACGTCAGAAATATGGAATTAAAACTTTACCAGATGGAATTTATCATTTTCCCCATGGAATAATAAAGCTTTACTACAATATAATGCCCTTTTTGAGGTAGCGCAGAATTTAAAGTAAGGTTTGAAAATGTATCTGGTTTGCATACCCCCCTATCCACAGTCACCTATATATGAGTTTAATTTTAGTTTTAAGTAAATTACTTTGTGCAGCTATTTAGTTTTAAATACTTTTTCTTATAATTCTGATGTTGTCCCATCTTTCCTTTTCTCTTATTGGCTCATCACAGATTCTTCCTTCAGGATCTGGCCAATCCGGATCTTCTTTATATCATTTGGTTTTTGTACGGTCAACTCACAACCACGGTAGTTTTAGCACTTCTATTTGGTAGCAAGGTAAGTAACTCTCCGATCTTTGTCAGCCGAAAATAGGCATTGGTAAACTTCTTAATTTCGTTCATGTTTCCACATGACATATTTTCGGACTATCGGTGGCTACAGACTTGTTTTTGAAAATGACCTCTTTGTTTAATGCAAGAAAACTTCAACAAGAAACAGGCGGAGTTTCCTCCGCGTGAACATTACAACTCAATAAAATGATTGAGCTAGAAAAGCAAAACAATTACATCAAAAAATTGTATGAAATGTACTGCAAAGTATATAATGTTATAGTTTAGCGGCTTATTTCAGGGATTCCATAATGCTGTATTAATAATTGTGCTATGTTATAACTCCTTGCCCCAGACAAATGGACGAAGTTACCAAATTGCACTTTCCAATTAAAGCAGAAATCGAAGACTGAGGAACCCTTTTAAGCGTCGATCGATAGTACAGCGCGGCGAAGTGACCTTCTCATCAGGCTGCAGACTGATATAGCACTGATTGGCGCTTTGATTGCAGATTATAATCCTTGAATGACAAGGTCAAATTTCAGGGCGATCGTCAATGAATATGACTCCTCTTCAGCTTGCAGATGGCTTCAGAGGAAGCGAAACAACTATCCTGGGTTTTTGTGTGTGCTTATTTCTAGCATCATCTGTACTTTCGAGTATATTTTGTCACTTGATATACCCGCATCCTGTCTGTGTACAGAATTGAAACGGCTGAATTACAAACCCTGATTTATTATGATTTTTTTTATAGAAAAGATGAATTATCGGTAAAGTTATACGGACGTGCTTGCTACTGGCATCAGACCATCGTATTAGTTCTGTACGCTTGTTGTGAAAACTAGGATTTTTTTCACCACAAAATAAAAAAAGGCATTGCTTGCTTTTCTTTTTAATTCTTTCCTTTAATATCGACCTAGGAGAAGCAAAAATAAGTCGGAAATTTTAAAAGGTTTTTTTTTTCTGTCAGCATGATCTGTTTATTTCCCATTTGTTTAGGAATTGCGTTTGGAAAAATCACTATTTAATGCTTTTAAAATATATTTGGCGACTTTTATAGGTATGAAAAAGCTTAATTGTTTTTTAATTTCACAGAAGAGCATTTTTTTCTCATGTAAATCTTAAAAAAATAATGTGTAATGACAAGCTGCTTAAGTTAATAAATAAAGTTAAGAACCAGACAAGGACACCCATGCACTGAACCTGGTTTAAAGCATACAGTTTCTATTCAATTGATTTAGAATGGCTATTCACTGGAAGTCGTTTCTTGCATCTGATCAACACTGGGCCCCCCAAAAAAATAGCACATTCTTTGGTCCAGCGTTATTGGGCAATCCGATACGATAGACAGTCAGTCACCCACCCACCCACCCTTCCTCCCTCTGGGACCAGCAAAAACTCAACGTTTTGGTCATTATGGTCTGACATTCATCATTAGCTTGTTCAGTTTTAAAAATAAAACCGATCATTAATTCCATCAAATTATCCCCTAGGTGAAAATCACAACATACTGACTGAAACGTCGACTTAACACCTCTCTGTTAGTCTGGGACCAAGACTTGCATGTGGGTTTTATTTCCTAATACAACTGGTCCCTGGCAAGCAAGGTAAATCCGCCTCGGTGGTAGAGGTCGCTCTCAGCAAGATAGCGCTGGGTAGCGCTACCGAACTTCCCAAACTGGGTTTGATTCATCTCGTTGATAGCGACCTTAGTTTGACCTCATCACGGCTTACCTCGTACTTGTCAAGGACCGGCGGTATCAGGGGAATAAAATTCAAAATCCAGTCTTGGATTAAGACTACACCATGTAAGATTCAGTCACTTGACACGGCGGGTCCGCTAACTACACTTCAATATTTGTACTCTAATCATAAAAGCCTCAGATTGTATTTATAATCATGTTCTACATGAGAGGTTGTTCTTTTTTTCCCTCCTCGTGTCAGATTTACTTGGTGAGCCAGGGTAAAGGCGATAAGACGGAGAGCCGTGTCAAGACAGCGACCACGGCCTTCAGACAGCGGACCTGGGACAACTCACTGTCCTCCCAGGGTCTTATGGCTAAGACGTCATCCTCGGAGATGGAGAAACCACTCAATCAAAAAGACATAGAGGTAAAAGAAATATGAATTGGCTTAAAAGGGAAAAAGTCGTATAATATTTAGATAAAAATCACAACGTCCAATGGGCTTTTCCGTCCTTGCTTCCAGTTATTATCACTGCTAGCTGTATCTAGTATCTGAAGTTTCAGCAGATCCCGGCGTAGCTTAAGCTTGAAGGTACGAGTGTGGGGGCTCGAAAGGCCCGCCGCAAATTCTTATCCATGGATCCACTTTTCAACTGCCTATTTAAATCTTAGAAATTGTCACAACAAAAACTAAATGTTCGGAACTTCCCATGCCATTTACGCACGTTTAGATGTCTTGCAGTCATGGCATAGATCTCTTGAAGTTGCTGCATCAGTCGCTCACTTTTTAGTAAAGAAAAAGGTCCACATTTTTCTATTACAAAAAAGGCCCACCCCTATCCCATGGTGTCAACGGACCTGTTCAGTTCATATAGTGTCTCATTTGTAGATTATAAACGCTCATATCTTCCAGAATCGGAAAATGAAACCATTTGAAAAAGCATGAAGTTCATTCAAGCGTATACAACAATGACATCTTAATGACATTTGGCTTTTTAGGGGACGTCGTGGTTTCGATTCCCGCCAACGTTAGCCAATAGGCTCTCGGGGAGTATATAAACCATAAAGATTACATAGCATCGTATGACGGGTACAGGCTTATAACGCTAGTCTTTTACTTTTTTACTTTTGTTCCCCAGGATGAATTGAAGAGGTTGTACACCCAACTCGAGCAGCTAAAAACCAGGAACATGGTGGTTGGCAACCCCCATCTCACCCGTAAACTGACTGAAATGGCCGAGGTTGCCAGGGAAACAGAACAGATGTTAATGGACTCGGACGTTCCTAACATCAATGGCGTGCATGAGATTTCCTATTCGTGCAACAACAACGGCAGGACGAGCAACTCGCAGGCAGACTGGATTTAAATCGTGCAGTTGGAGTGAAATCTCTTAGCATGCAGGACCGTTCATCTTGAACTCCCTCAACCGCTAGTCGGTTGAAAGCTAAAGTGCATATCGATGCCAGACTTTCTACGGCTGTTTGTGAGACTAAACTTGAGACCGACGACATTGGTGGAAATTTTGCGAAACGGTTAATCGACGCTAGTTAAGTCATTGCTGACTGTCGACACAGAACTAATCGCCTTCCTAAATTCGTCTCCTGCTGTTTAACACCTGGAAGTCTAAGGTGTCATTTTGGATGCGGTGTACGATTTTCAGTGTCGAGAACCAACATAACTTCGAATGTTGCCGGTACCGATTATTCGAGACCGCAATGACAATGTATTCGATCGGGATATGTGGGATCGTATGCACCGCCCTTCGATTCCAAATATCGATATTTTTTAGCACCAAAGCAAGTCCTGACACTCAGTGATTTCAAGGCAGAGATGTTATATGGTTGGTTTTAATCTATATTGGAAATTAAGTCAGACAATTAGAACCTTTTTCCGTGCGAAAACACGACTTCGAACGACACTAGGCTGAACTGAACCCGATGTGTCGCCAATTAAACGTCAGAGTTTGGCAAGAAAACGAGCGCTAGTTTTATCGTCTCTTATACAAACTTTAACTGCTTGACTAAAAGTCCATTATAATTATTGCTATAATAAAAGAGGGCACTTACAGCCAGTGACCACTCGAAGGAGGATGATAATTGCTCCGCCTTTTATGCAAATGTATATGTAAATTGAAAAGAGGCAAATACGTAATACTTTGAATGTACAAAAAAAAACTATATCTGTAGAGAGGTATTTGGCGTTTGTTTTTTAATCCCTCTTTTTCCACCTTTTATGGTTTTGTCCCGAAGAGGCTTCAAATGTATTTTTATATCAGAGTCAAGCATGTGTTGACATTATCATCGGAGCATGAATATCAGTGCATCAAAACTTTGTACAAATATTCAGGTTGTTGTGTTTTGTTTCCAATAAACTTTAAGGTTAACGTCACGAAATCGTTATAATGCAAGGATGTAAAGTGACGTATTTAATCGGACCATAAAAAGTGACATTGAGAAAATGATACAAAATAAAAGGTAGACTCTCAAAATAAAGCCAAATCTGAAACAAGGAACATAACAGGCATCAATAATAACTGAATGTAGGAGTTAGGCTGGAAAACTGTTCAACTTAGTTTTTTTTAAACTGACCACGATTTATCCAATGCAGTAGTAGCATATCCAGCGGGGCCGGGGGGGGGGAGGGGGAGAAGGGGGGATTGAGGGGGGAACTTTCTCCTTTTGGGGAGGGAGGGGGGAAATTGAAGCGCAAGCATGTAACAACTGCCACTAATTATAATACTCCCTCGGTTTTAACAATTTGTACGAACGAAGAAAAAAATGGAACCGCTTTTTCTTAACAAAATACCCAATTTGCCCTCCTGGAACCAAACGTTGTATACGCTACTGACCACATCAATCCCATTGCGAGATGGATAAATAACCAAGTTCGGTTCCATAAAAGAATATTTTCTTTTTAGTACGAAAGTCTTTTTTATACAAAATTTCCTTCGTTTGTTGAAAAAAAAAATTATATGTCGGTCTCTCAGTTAAGCCTCCTTAAATTATTTTTGCAAATTACCCTATAATGCCCGGGGAAAAGAATGGCGGACAAGGGCCGTTGCCCCCCCCCCCCCCCAACAAGCCCAATTTTCTACAAAAATGTTTTAAGTGAATTGGCAAAACAAGCAGCCACTGCGTACACCACCATCTTTTGCTCGAAAAAAATGGGTTAAAGTTGTTAGACATTGCCTCAGGTTACACCACAGAATGTTCTGGAATCCAACAAAATTTGGGGCCCTTAAGCGAGCTACGAATCCCACGCCGTCAATTTGTAGACCCACTTTTTTGGGGTGGGAAATAATTTGTTTGCCCCCCTCCCAAAACAAAAATGTGGATCTGCCCTTGATTGCGGATTTCTAATCCATAGATTATTTCAGCAGTCATCTTTGATGCGTGTCATTTTGTTCTACAGGGAAACGTATGCGCTAGTGCTAGTGGACCTTTTTTGCATTCATTGTTACTAAAGTAAATAACAAAAACCTCTCAAAGACTTATGCCTGCTTTAGCACACTCTTAAAAGTCTTAGGACAAATCCGATCCGGAATCTTGGTCAGATTTGGCCTGACACTTTCCAGAGTCAAACTCATTCTTTTCGGGTCAAAATGACACTTCTTTGGATCACTGCTCCGGTGTAGTGAGAGAATTAGACTCCATGAAATACGGATCCCTTGGTTGTACTGCGCCTAAGTGAAGATAATGAGTACAGCGACGGGTCATGTGTGGGGGGAAGAGTCCATATAAGGTAAAAGTACCAGATTTCTGGAGTCCGAATTTCATATGACACCGGGTCGATTTGACCCGGAAATCTTGGCAAAAGTGCAATTTTACCCCAGAAAAGTGTCAATTGACCCTGAAAAGACTATATAAGGTCAAATCTGACTAAGATTTCGGGTCAATTATAAGACTTATAAGAGTGCAAATTGTGATCTTTTGCTCCGCTTTTCCCGTTGCCGGCACATGACGTCATTAAGAAATTACTGTTGAGATGAGGAACTTGCATAAGGATTGGCACCTACGACTGCCCTATTGTGCTATTCCAACTCAACATAAACCATAATCCATAGAAATTGCATGCACTGATGACCCCGTGACGTCGATTTTCATTATAGTATTAATGCTGGTCTGCCCGTCGGCAACAGCATCGATAGTAGCATCAATAGACATAAAGTCACAGGAGGAATGGTCAATAGGTCCGACTCACTTTGGTAGAGCGCGAGTTTGATATTCCGATGGTAGCGGGTTCAAATCTTGCTTGTCAATTCAAAAGTAAGTAAACCGTAAAGTGACCCTTCAGCCTCTTTAGTTGCAGTTGATTTTTTAGAATACTACAAAAGCAAAGTGCCGTTTATTGTTTGAAAGCTATTCAAATGAATATTTTTTTGAGTGCATTGTTTGATTTTTTTTAATGAAAAAAATGTATCAATTCACCCTTGCCGTTTTCTTTTAATTTTCTTTTAAAAAGTTAGTTTTTTTGTTATGAAGTTAAAGGCACGTACTTTGCAATTACCCTAAAACCATGGGCGTCGCCAGGTTTTTTTCCGGGGGGGGGGCAAAGCAAATTTTTCAATAAAATGTCTTAACTTTTTCATTATATTCTCAATGTATCATTGTTCCGAGCTTGAGCAGGGGCGCATTTGCCCTCCCCCCCCCCCCCAAAACAATACAGCAATATGGCTTCGCACCTCTTTTTCCCTTTTTTTTCCCCTCTTGTTTTTCTCGTTTTCCAGGGGGGGGGGTGAGGGCAAGCGCCCCCTTGCCCCCCCCCCCCCTTGCGACGCCCATACCTAAAACATACCGACCGATGTAATGAGAAAAACCGTGCTCAAAGTGAAGATAAGAATTGGTTCCAAACACCCTCTGAAGTTATTCCGCCCAGAAAGGGTTGGCGACCGATAGATATGAAACATTAGTGGAATCTACTTACGAAACCCCCAAAAGTGTGCACATTTTTATGTCTGTGCTCTAAAAATGTATAGTATCCACAGAGCTAAAACGTCAACATGTTTAGTAGTTGGTATGACCGTACTAAAGATTTTGAGCACTTAATTTGCTCCTTCTAATGAAAACAGAAGAGTAACCGATCTTAATTTGTTCTTCAAGACATGAGTAACTTTGAGTACACGATCCTAGCATAATCTTTCACCATGGCTGAATGCTTTCATATTAAAAAAGAATTAACTTTTTTTGGTAACGAAACAAAGATTTAGACTGACAATCATCAAATAAATATCCCTAGCAAAGTATTGTGTGCAGTTTAATCATGACATCGAAAAAGAGGCTTCTATAAGTCGTTCATTTCGAACGTTCACCTTTTGTTTTATACTTAGGTGCTATAGTACATTCATTGTTCGAGTCTATTTGATTTTCAAATGTACAGTTCAGAAAAAGTAATAAATCAAGAAGGCCTCGATCTAATAATTACGGAAGGCATTGTGTCAGAGTTTGTCTATTTGGTATGTATATGAGTAGCAATGGTGGCATAAACTTCGTCCCCACAGTCACGTGCTGGTCAAATGTATTATTTTTTCCAGGTGAGTTCACTGACAAACTGCGGTGTCAGTTTAACAAGGGCTGTGCGTCCTGAAATAATGTATTTCTAATACAGTAATAGTTCAAACTGTTGCTAAACCAAGCTATCCTGGCCAGTATTTATTATCTGAACCAAAAGGTATTTTCGTCATGTATTTAATATGTATATTTCTTAGTCATCGATGCCCCTACATCCAAATGAATGTCATGCAATCTAGTTCGCTCCACGTCAACGTGACTCATCAGCCAATTAGAGCTATCTACTCAACCTCGTCCTCATGGCGTCCAGCAGTACGCTACACTAAGCATCTCTCTCGCCCTGGTACTGGATCATTTCTTTGCCATGTCCTAAAATCTTGGGTGTTAGAATTAGTCGGAATAGTCGGGTGCCATTCCCCCGTTTTTTTTTAAATGTAGTGTATAGACCTTTATCATGCTGCCACCATTCCAGTCATGTTCCCTGTCTCCAATATACTGAATGATAATGTTTGTTGTGCAAATAGGAACCAGACTATTTTTCCTTCCAGCCTCGCTTTTGTTACGTCGATTTGAATGGGAAAAATCAAAATGGCCGCAACATGATAATGGTCTATAGGGTGCTGACTGAAGCAATTCGTCGAGGTGACAGATCGGAAACACGATTTTTGTTTGTTGAGATTTCCCACTTTGATAATCTCAACCATTTAAAATACAGTGTTACACGGAATATGATAATGCATGTATCAGCAAATAGAAAAGGGAGAATTGTTTTTTCGAGGAGGATTTGACATAATAATTCACAATTAACGTTAAAACACGTAATACACGTTGGAAATATAATCACAGGTATACAATCCGCTATGGCCTGAAAATACGCCATTTTGTCCTTGAGTTTCCGGACCCCTCGCGACCCTTCTATGAGCATTTTATACGGGGTTGCCCTTTCTCTTGCTAATTTTTAACAAAATGATTTCTAACCGTAATCCCCCAAGAAATATTGGAATTTTATCTTGGCATTCCACAAGAAAAAAAGTGACGAGAAATCGGTTGGAGTTGGGTAAAAACGAATTTTACTTAGACCTTTCACATCCGGATTTTGGTAACTAGGTCTCCTTGTTCGATCACGTTCGTTTTCACATCGCATACTTGCGTGAGAACGAAAATGACATGTCCGATGGATTCTAGATTTAGTCGGGCTTGCTTGAACAGGCTACAGTTCTTTTCAACGGTTGTAAATGAGAGTTACTCCTTCAAGTTAATTCAAAAGTTAATTCTCCTATTGAAGTTTCATTGTTTTTACCCAATGGCCGCCACAAACTTATTTCATAATTTGACATCATTGTACGAGTACACAGAGTTCCATAGTCCACATGTATTATAGATTTTCGGAAGTGAGACGTCAAGTTTTGGTACAATATTTCTCTTTCACGTCATTAGATTGTTCAGTTTCCATAAATTGAGATGCTAGTAACAATTTTACAAATGCCTTTTCCGAGGGTGATTTTCTTAAGAAATCAATGTACTAAAAATAATTTCAAAAATTCCGAATTAATTTTACTCGCTAATGTTCATATTCGAGGGGTCCGGGAGCACGCCACCAAGGGTCAACTTTCAGGCTCTATTGCGGGATTGAATCCGGATACAGGAAGCTAGTTACCCTTCCCAGAGTACACCATTGTCTCGAGTTGAAACTAGACCCAATGAACGAGGTGTCATGGACTCCACTCAAATGGTTTGAGGGAGCGATGTAAAAGGTATTTTTGGATTCTGCTCAGAGTGTCTGAGCCCTTTATATCCTACGACATGTTTCTTTGTTGGCATATGTAGCCTATGCTTCGAATAGGTTCATCTTCTGTCTCAAGGACTTCCTCTTCACAGGATTTGAGATTCTATAGGGGTATAAATGCATGTTCTATTCACGACAAATACGAAATCGAGACTATCCTTGCAGAATACATTCATCCCTGTTTCCGCTTCTTTCATTGCCAGTTGAACAACCTGCCGTTCTTTGGCGCGCCACCGTGCAACGGGAGTGATTTGACCCGTGATAACGCGACAAGCGTTCAGGCGGTGTGGCAGACGACAGAATGCGCCGATCGATTCATGTTATGAAGGT